ATTGTAGGTCAAATGCATTCCTTCGTAAAATTCGGTGATTTCGGATTCGTAAAACGTTTTGAAAATATATTTAATCAACAGCCACCACCCATTTTTGGGGGGATAGGTAAAAGTTTCAGAACGATCCTATGGTTAGATTCTGAGAAATCCGATTTGTGGACAAAACACAAAAAAAAAATAACAATAATAATCTTAACAGAAACAATAAGCTTTCATATGTAATATGAAAGCTTAATAATAATCTTAACAGAAACAATAAGCTTTCATATGTAATATGAAAGCTTAATAACAATAATAATCTTAACAGAAACAATAAGCTTTCATATGTAATATGAAAGCTTAACTAGATCTGCATAGCAGATATCAAAGCTTTCATATAAACTTCAAAAGGGGTTATTAGAATCTATGAATCATCAACCACTCTGACGGATGTAGAAAGGAATATATTGTTACTAAATCTGTTGTACTGTTTCTTGTTATGGTAAAGAAAACATGAATACAACTATGAGATTTGTATAGAATTGGCATTAATCAATATATTTATTGTTTAATACTACATGTATATTATAGATACAAAGTGAATTAAATGAACCCAATTACATGTACTTTATATAAGCAATGTTTTTTTATTCATCGTTACTTTGAAATCACATTATTTTCATTGATGATAAAAAGGTTGTATTTGTACCGAATCCAAAAAGTATGTTGTATGACATTGCATTATCTGTACCAATTATTTATTTGCAAACCAATATACAATGTTTAGTTCTACTCCAATATATTTGTTTCAACCCATGATAGTTTATTCACTCTTCTCACTTAAATACAAGAATAACACACGATTAAATTACTGAAACAAGTAATGCTGGTAGATTATAATTTGATATTGTATACCATTTACTCTCTGTTAGATAAGGCGACGTGGTAATCTGTTAGATAAACATACATGGAAGTATATGTTAGATAACTACAATTTATGATATATTTTAAACCAAGGAAGTGGCCTTTCTAAAAATAAAAAAAAATAAAGGAAAATATATTTCATACAATTGTTATACTGTTACTGTTATCGTGAAGAAACATGATTGTTTATTTAATGTTGTTTATGACAAACATGTAATCATGTACATTTTTTAAATAAGAACAATTATGCTACATGTATGAATAACTCTCAAAAATTATGTTTTCATCAATCCAAGTATTTTTTTATTTGTATTACTTGATTTATACTGAATAAAGATTACACAAACATACAAAATGGTGTTGGCTGTGTGACTGAATTCCTCGTTGAGAAGTGGTATCGGGTGTCCCATAGAGAAGAAGCAAACCCTCCTTGTGATACACTTGTGAACATTTTAAAAGACCCATTTCGCTGTGTCCCAGAAAAATCCCCATTATAGCTAGTGCATTACATGGTTGTTGTTGGGGGAAAGGTGGGTCTTTTCTATTGGCAATGATTTACTTTTTATAGGCCCACATTGAAATGTGGTCGTATATTGTCGTCGCCCCCCTTTTGCTGTTAATATCCGATTGACTTTAAATTTATACGCAGTGTTTAAGGTCATAAGACGAAGAAGCCTTTGATTTGCTCTGCCCAGGCAACGTTCCTGTGCTCCGATTGCCTTCAAATATGCACAGAATGTACCTTGGGATTCTAGCTATCACATATTAAAAATAGAAGAGTGTTGGATTCCGAGAACGTTCAAAATAAATTCAAAACCCGCCCCCAACAATCAAAGGTTTTTTGCTTAAAAAATTACCGTATTTTATCGAATTTTTATTGTTCTTGATATCTGAGGATTTTTCTCAATTTAGTATGTGATAAATATCATCGCGGCGCAGCCAACCGCTAGAAATTCCAGAGATTTGGATGCCTCAGCAGTCAAAAAAGGTCAAAATAGGCGATTTCGGTTTCTAGTGTCGATACATCGTTACGGTCATTTTAAAAAATTGTCTTTTAAGGATAATGTGTATAGTACCAGTACCTATCACATACGGAAGAGGCGATAAAATCTCTTTGCATTTGCAATTTCAAAATTAATTAAAACCAATATTAAATTCCGAAAATCGTTTTTTTGCTAAAACTTTTTTTTTTTTAATCGGATCAAAATGGGAGTAAGGCACAGAGTCCGGGGTGGTAATGGGCGTATTGTGTCCAAATTTCATGGTTTTCGGACAATCGGTGCCGGTGTCACGGCACCCGGTGACCGATATTTATTTAACGGGGAATAAGTGATAATTCATATTATAGCAGTAAATAATTAAAATATTTCATAGGGATTATAATAATATCTATATCTTGTCTGGGTACAGGGTTAAAACCAATATTAAATTCCGAAAATCGTTTTTTTGCTAAAACTCTTTTTTTTTAATGGGATCAAAATGGGGGTAAGGCACAGAGTCCGGGGTGGTAATGGACGTATTGTGTCCAAATTTCATGGTTTTCGGACAATCGGTGCCGGTGTCACGGCGAAATTCCACTTTTTTCCCCTCATGGAAGCCGTAAATTGACTTAGAAAAAAAACGACGAAAGGCAGGTGACAAGAACAAACGACATGAACGAATGCAGGTATCACCTTGAAATTTTCAGGGTACCTAGGTACCAACGTGAAAAGTTGCTCGCCGGAATTTAGTACTCATGGTACCTTTGGTTCCAGCGTAGCGCATGCGCGAAGTCAAATCCAGCTAAACTCGAAAACAACCTTGTCGGCACGGAAAACATCAAAGGAGAAATTCGAATAAAAAATGATACAATGATTTCACACAACAGGCCAGCTATTAGCCTCTCGATTGACAAGAGTTTCATCGCCCTCCATTCATTATAACCAATGTCATCGTGCCCTAAAGAATCAACAAATCAGCTTGCTTATCTCTGCTTACCCTAGGCAAAAAATGCTCATCTTTGAACTCAATCATGACATTGACCTAGTGAACGCCTACACCAAGTTTGAACATTCTAGCTTAATTAGAAGGAGAGTTCTTGTGTTCCAAAGTCCCGGCCCTTCAAATTGCTTCTATTTTTCATTTTCAATTCAAAATGGTGACCATCACGTGACCGAAATCAAAATTCTGATCCGATAGATTTTTAGGTATTCCCTCCAGAATTCCGAAAATATGACGCCCGAGTCTGTAAGTAAAATAGCAAAAAAGCCTTTTTGATTTTTCACGTTTAAAGATGGTGGCACTTCCGGTTCGATCGACAAACTCCATATTTTGTGTACGAATCAGTAATTACTTGTCTAGTATCGAATTTATTTTTTAGGTCATTCTGACCTATATTTCGACGATTTTTTTGAAAACTTTGATCCTTAATTTCACCAAGGGGAGATAATTTAGAAAATTTCCAAGGACATCATTGAAGTCGCATTGGCAAGATCTACTAACATTCTAAATTTCACGAAAATCGCACAACTATTAAAGAAGTTGTCAAATTGGTAATAACTTCCGGTTCGAAATGACAGCGACGAATTTTCGAAATGCCAAAATCCGAAATTGCAGATTTGAAGTAAAGGTTTTAAGATACTCAAAGAAAAAAGAATTAGTAAAATAGGTCAAATAGTCACAGAGTTACAGCATTGTAGGTCAAATGCATTCCTTCGTAAAATTCGGTGATTTCGGATTCGTAAAACGTTTTGAAAATATATTTAATCAACAGCCACCACCCATTTTTGGGGGGATAGGTAAAAGTTTCAGAACGATCCTATGGTTAGATTCTGAGAAATCCGATTTGTGGACAAAACACAAAAAAAAAATAACAATAATAATCTTAACAGAAACAATAAGCTTTCATATGTAATATGAAAGCTTAACTAGATCTGCTAAGCAGATATTAAAGCTTTCATATTCACAGTCACTGTCACATGTCATAGAAATAATATGAACAGAAAAAAAAAATCATTATAATGAGTAAAAATTTGGTGAAGTTAATTCGATTTTTCACTGGTAAATAATTAAATAGACAAGTGGCATAACTTGACCCGCATCCCATCAGCTATCCTGAAAAATGCTGGAAAAATTAAACAAGTAAATTGTGTTTAGTACTGGGTTAATTAAGACAGGCATATGCCTTTGCTATACAGGATGACATGAGGGAAATTTAGCTTGGGAGGTGTAGGCCTGCAGCCAAAATTTCTAGCTAGCTTAGAAACACAACTCCGCTACACGGTCTTCCATAAAAGAAAAACTATACATTTTTGGAAAGCTTATGATGCCAGGAAGACAAAATCTGGGAGTTCCAAGCAAAATGTTTGCAATTTATTGATTTAGGGCCAGATGAAATTCGTCAAAATTGTCAAATAAATGCTATTTGTGTACTAACAATTCTGAAGTTGACATAAAATTAAATAGTTGGTAAAACACCTCATGCCTTCATCCTTGGCAATGAACAGTTTATTGGACAGATTTTGATGTAAATAAAAATGCTCAAAACACAAATGTCATGGGTGAATAAAGAATTGTGGAAATCCATTAACGGTAAAAAAGAATTATCTCCCTTTCTGTCAAATGCCTGTAATTGATAGACTATCAGGTCTTGTATGAATCATAAGACCAGGTGTGGGCAAACAAGCCCAATAATTATTTTGTTTGTTGGATCTCAAGGGCCTGTTAGGGTTGGTTGTTGGATGTTTGCTCAGAAATTATCGCTTGTATGGAACATGCTAGAGTCGATTTGTAGCATATTCTAGCCAGGGGATATGTTTGACAGTAGTTGAGTGATATGCTTTTGAAATAATGGAGATCAGTAGCACTTTATAAGCATTGAACCACATGATTTTTTTCCACTAAGATAAACATTCTAAACCCACATACATGTTCCCTTTCAATTAGCCACTACAGTATTTTTACAACTGTAATGTAGCTGTGAACTACTATTTCGGATATGATTAATGGTCAAATTACAAACATACATGTAGATATAAGTTAAAAAAAATAATTGTGTATCTGGGCTGGAATGAAGGGAAAGGTTAGAAAACAGGATGGACAGTTGTGAAATTATTTATTAAAGTGAAACAATCATTGAAAATCAAAATTAAACAGTTACTCTGCACATCAAATGTCATCAAAGTTAATCTTCATTATCATCATCACTGTCACTAAATGTATTAACATCAAATTCGGTCTCTTTAACAGTTTTTTTTTCATTTTCACATTGACTACACATGCACAGGTCTGTACAAGAAAGGGGGGTTGGGATGGCCTAGAGTGCCGCGCTTCGACCTCTAGCTGGTCGGTCACCTCTGGCTTGTGGCTGTGGCTTTGATCCCAGGTGTGAGCGTATGTGGCATGGAGATAGAGGCGTCTTCTCAACCTCGTGGGTTTCCTCCGGTTTCCTCTCACTGCTAAAGACCCATACGCGCAAGCGAATTATTGAAATAAAATTGAAACCGTATGTTAGTCCCAAAATGACCTAGTTTGTATTGAGTGGACGTTAAACCCCATTTCTCTCTCTCTCTCTCTCTGTACAAGACAACTTTGCTGGCCATTTATGATTCTTTCTCTTATGACATCTTCACAGAATATATTGTATGTGGTTTAATATTCGACGGAGGGCTAGTCATCTTTGCTGAAAAATATAAATAAACATATACATGTACACAATTAAAACAAAATTCTGGAGCTTGGTTTACTCTCATTAATTTCGTACAACAGAGGAAAAAGACACTTACACAGGGGTTAACATCTTATTTTCATGCAGAAACCAGCTAATGAAGACAGGAAGGCATTAGCAGTACAAGGAGAGATAGAGAGGAGAATTGCGGTTTAAAGTCCACTGGACAAAAACATAGTAATTTCAGGACTCACCCATGGTTCAGTTTTATTTGAATAATACCAGTGGCAAGAAGGCGGAGAATACAAATAAAAAAAACATCACAAATATTTACCTTTCTGATAACTGTCTAAGAAATTCAGTACATGTATATTGCCTATAACATTTTTGGTGATATCTGACCTCAATGGCCACACAATCTTGCCCTCTGATATGCCTTAAAATATCTTCATCCTCTTTCAATTCAGCAGCTTTCAACAGTTGGCCTACAAACAAATTTGCAAACAAATTATACACCATATAGCGTTGAATGTTGTTTGTGCTCAAGGGTGGGGGAGGGAATGTCACTTTGAGGCCTACATGTACATGTACCTGGCTGGTCAACTCTGGCATGCGGTTTAGTTCAGATCCTTTGTGTGAGCGGAAATGGTCTAGAGACAGATCGTCTTAGCAAGGCACCTACAAGTGGGCCAAGAAAATAAAAAACAAGTTAACTTCTCTATGTTTCATCCCTTGTGCAAGCAAATGTGCAACACTTTAACCAATGACTGTGCCAAATCAACAAATGGGGTAAAGGGCTTTAATGGCTAGCTTCATAACAATTTTACAGTGATTGCAGTAGCACTTCTGATTCCATTTACAACAAAAACAACAACACAATAATTAAAAACTGTAGGATGAATATATTTAATATTTATTAGTAATAATTATAAATTTAGTAAGTAACATAATATTAACATTAGGCCTACCTGAGCCTGTTTGGGTCTGAGTCTGTGTTAATACATCCTTCTTCCTATTTTCTCCAACAGTGACAAATCTGTCACGTTTTTTACATATAATACAAACAACAGGCAGCACCGATTTACTCTTTCTTTTTGCTTCAGGAGCGTAATTTGTTTGGAGAGCTAGGTCCCAGATCGTCTACACTCCCGCTATTCCCTGGTTGGATTGTAGCCGGGGATTTTAATTTTTCTTTATCTATACGATTACGGGCAGACCCAATTCGGAATTTGTCTGTAAAAGGCCTGTAGCATGTTGGGTGAAATCCAGTATCTTTTGGCGCGTCGATAAATTCCTTGTTTGATTATATCACCCGAAGTCGCCTGTTCAGCTATCCATTTCGCTCGCCCATCAAGTTTTAGCCATTCATGGGCACATTCACGGAATTTATCCCAGCGAGATTTTGTAAATAATTGTTCTCGTTCCTTTCTAAATCCTTGGTAATGAATAATACAGCGTAAATTTGATTTACGTTACGACAAAGTCTAACTTTGTAAGTACCAAATAGTCATACGAGATATGTGCATCTCATCAAATTCAGCTTATACCATACCCACAATAATGTTACGGAGTCAGTGAGTTCAAGTTAGACAATACGCTGACCTTCCACTGACCATGCTTATAATATAAAATCTGTCAATGACAGCTGATTCATTGTTTAGTTTTTTATATGATATATTTAATATCAATAATATATGTATATGCATGCTTTATTTTACTTTACACGACCTCTAAAAATGCCCCAAATCGTAAAAATACGACTTTTTGGATTTCGATCTCCTTTTTTCGGCTACCCCGGACATTTTCAAAAAATGATACAATGATTTCACACAACAGGCCAGCTATTAGCCTCTCGATTGACAAGAGTTTCATCGCCCTCCATTCATTATAACCAATGTTATCGTGCCCTAAAGAATCAACAAATCAGCTTGCTTATCTCTGCTTACCCTAGGCAAAAAATGCTCATCTTTGAACTCAATCATCACATTGACCTAGTGAACGCCTACACCAAGTTTGAACATTCTAGCTTAATTAGAAGGAGAGTTCTTGTGTTCCAAAGTCCCGGCCCTTCAAATTGCTTCTATTTTTCATTTTCAATTCAAAATGGTGACCATCACAAGACCGAAATCAAAATTCTGATCCGATAGATTTTTAGACATTCCTTCCAGGATTCCGAAAATATGACGCCCGAGTATGTAAGTAAAATAGCAAAAAAGCCTTTTTGATTTTTCACGTTTAAAGATGGTGGCACTTCCGGTTCGATCGACAAACTCCATATTTTGTGTACGAATCAGTAATTACTTGTCTAGTATCGAATTTTTTTTTTAGGTCATTCTGACCTATATTTCGACGATTTTTTTGAAAACTTTGATCCTTAATTTCACCAAGGGGAGATAATTTAGAAAATTTCCAAGGACATCATTGAAGTCGCATTGGCAAGATCTACTAACATTCTAAATTTCACGAAAATCGCACAACTATTAAAGAAGTTGTCAAATTGGTAATAACTTCCGGTTCGAAATGACAGCGACTAATTTTCGAAATGCCAAAATCCGAAATTGCAGATTTGAAGTAAATGTTTCAAGATACTCAAAGAAAAAAGAATTAGTAAAATAGGTCAAATAGTCACAAAGTTACAGCATTGTAGGTCAAATGCATTCCTTCGTAAAATTCGGTGATTTCGAATTCGTAAAACGTTTTGAAAATATATTTAATCAACAGCCACCACCCATTTTTGGGGGGATAGGTAAAAGTTTCAGAACGATCCTATGGTTAGATTCTGAGAAATCCGATTTGTGGACAAAACACAAAAAAAAAATAACAATAATAATCTTAACAGAAACAATAAGCTTTCATATGTAATATGAAAGCTTAACTAGATCTGCATAGCAGATATGAAAGCTTTCATATTAACTGCAAAGGGGGTTATTAGAATCTATTGAAACAATAAGTATAAATGTCATCAGGTATCTGAAAAATTACATTTACCTTATGAACAAAATGGCAAAAATACAAAACAAAAATTGTCGACTTGTGGCTACCATCCAAGGCATATTTAGAAAACCGTATATTATATACAGAGTACGCAGGACAGGAATTAGTTGTGCTTCAATGTAAACCGGCCCGTTTCTTGCCTTTAGTCTTAGAGTTAGGTGTGATTTTCAAAGGATTCAATCGGAAATCGGTGAAAATCAATTGGCTTCTTCATCTCATGACCTTAAACACTGTATAAATTTAAAGTCAATCGGATATTGAATTTAGCCTCTAGAGCGTCCACAAGATTTTTTAAAGTGATCAAGGGCAATAACTCTGACGGTAATTATCGGAAATGGCAGTAAATATCAGATATCGCTGAAAATCAATACTGTAGGCATCTTCGTGTCATGACCTTAAACACTGCGCATAAATTTAAAGTCAATCGGATATTAACTTTGGCCTCTAGAGCGTCCACAAGATATTTTGAAGTGATCAGGGGCCACAACTCTGGCAGTAAATATCAGATATCGCTGAAAATCAATCGCCTACTTCGACTCATGACCTTAACCACTGTATAAATTTAAAGTCAATCGGACATTAACTTTGGCCTCTAGAGCACCCACAAGTGATGAAGGGCCATAACTCTGACAGTAATTATCGGAAATCGCTGAAAATCAATTGGCTTCTTCATCTCATGACCTTAAACACAGTGTATAAATTTAAAGTCAATCCGATATTGAATTTAGCCTCTAGAGCGTGCACAAGATTTTTTGAAGTGGTCAAGGACCATAATTCTGACAGTAATTATCGGAAATCGCTGAAAATCAATAGGCTTCTTCGTCTCATGACCTTAAACACTCTGTATAAATTTAAAGTAATCGGATATTAACTTCAGCCGTCCGGACGGCCGGATTTCAATGTTGGCGTAAAAAAATTAACCGATGGCATGTAATATTTAATGTATGATAAAGTCAAAATAGTCGATTTCGGTTTTTGGTGTTGCGTTCATTTTAAAAAAAATGTCTTTTACGGATAATGTGTATAGTACTAATAGTAATCACATACGGAAGAGGCGATAAGATCCCTTTGCATTTGGAATTTCAAAATTAATTAAAACCAAATTTAAATTCCGAAAATCGGTTGTTTATTTTTTGCTGAAACTCCATTTTTTAATCTGATCAAAATGGGAGTAAGTCACAGAGTGGTTAATGGGCGTATTGTGTCCAAATTTCATAGTTTTGGGACAGAAGCCGTAAATGGCGGAAAAAAACGAACGACAGGAACCGTGTCAAGAACAAACGACCTGAACGAATGCAGGTATCGCCTTGAAGTTTTCAGTGCACCTAGGTACCAACGTGAAAAGTTCCTCGCCGGAATTTGGTAGTCAACGTACCTTTGGTTCCAGCGTGGCGCATGCGCGAAGTAAAAAGAAATTACGGTCGATTTGACTCGGATTGATCTAACATGCCGATCATAACACATTATGATAATCACTTTGAAGAATGAGCAAATGTACCCCATTGCCTTCAAATTTGCACAGAATGTACCTTAGGATTCTAGCTATCACATATTAAAAATAGAAGAGTTTTGGATTCCGAGAACGTTCAAAATAAATTCAAAACCCATCCCCACCGATCAAAGGTTTTATCGAATTTTTATTGTTCTTGATAAATGAGGATTTTCTCAATTTAATATGTGATAAATATCATCGCGGCGCAGCCAACCGCTAGAAATTCCAGAGATTTGGACCACTGGAAGGATGCCTCAGCAGTCAAAAAAGGTCAAAATAGGCGATTTCGGTTTCTAGTGTCGATACATCGTTACGGTCATTTTAAAAAATTGTCTTTTAAGGATAATGTGTATAGTACCAATACCTATCACATAAGGAAGAGGCGATAAAATCTCTTTGCATTTGCAATTTCAAAATTAATTAAAACCAATATTAAATTCCGAAAATCGGTTTTTTGCTAAAACTCTTTTTTATTTAATCGGATCAAAATGGGAGTAAGGCACAGAGTCCGGGGTGGTAATGGGCGTATTCTTTCCAAATTTCATGGTTTTCGGACAATCGGCGCCGGTGTCGTGGCGAAATTCCTCTTTTTTCGCCCTTACTGAAGCCGTTAATTTGCGGAAAAAGCCGAACGGCAGGAACCATGTGAAGAACAAACGACCTGAAAGAAATGCAGGTATCGCCTTGAATTTTTCAGGGCACCTAGGTACCAACGTGAAAAGTTCCTCGCCGGAATTTGGTAGTCATGGTACCTTTGGTTCCAGCGTGGCGCATGCGCGAAGTCAAAAGAAATTATGGTCGATTTTGGGATTTTGGGTATATTTCGGAGTGGTTTGGTAGGTGACGGTGTATCTAAGATGGCGGTTATAATAACTTTAAAGAATGAACAAATTTCCGCGACCGGGTTGATTTGCTCTGCCCAGGCAACGTTCCTGTGCTCCGATTGCCTTCAAATTTGCACAGAATGTACCTTGGGATTCTAGCTATCACATATTAAAAATAGAAGAGTGTTGGATTCCGAGAACGTTCAAAATAAATTCAAAACCCACCCCCAACAATCAAAGATACTGACAAGAATAATTGTTCACCTGTAACTTGTGTTGAAAATAACTTTGCGTTTGCGAGAGTTTATGATACAGGAGTTAATAATTCTGCGTTTGCGTCATCCTGTAGCGTTGAACTTAGTCATTCTGTGTCTCAACCTCTTTATACCCCTTCAACACCTCAAATTAACCCTTATGCGTTGCGTTCTCAAGAAACCTGTTCAACAGTTTATTCAAGTCAACAACCGAATCCTGTAATGTCAACAAAGCCAGCTTATTACATTCCTACAAGGTCAACTAATGAAGATGATCCGTTAGTCAGAGTAGCACAAGTTTTTGCGGAACATGCGAGTTTCAGTCGTTTACCCCCTCCTGAGCCTGGTACATTCTCTGGAGACCCGTTAAAATACCCAAGTTGGAAAAGCGCATTTCAAACTTTGATAGACCAAAAGGACATTCCTGTTTCAGAACGAATGTATTATCTTAAGCGTTATTTAAGTGGATCTGCGAGAGAGTGCGTTGAGAATTATTTCCTATTGTCTACAGAAGATGCGTACGATGAAGCCAAGAAACTTCTTGATGATAGATTTGGTTATTCATTTGTCATTGCCAATGCGTTTCGCGATAAACTTGATGCTTGGCCTAAAATTCATTACAGAGATGGAATAGGTTTGCGGAAATTTTCTGATTTTTTGCGTCAGTGTGAAGTAGCGATGCGGACTACTAGAAGTTTATGTGTTTTGAACGATGATAGGGAAAATAAGAAATTACTTAAGAAACTTCCTGATTATTTAGTATCACGATGGGCACGTATTGTCCATGACTGGAGAATTGAGAGAATGACATTCCCTCCCTTTGTTGAATTTGCGAAATTTATTGATAAAGAATCAAACATTGCTTGCGATCCTGTAACGTCTTTACAACAACCTGGAAAGGAGTTGAATCAACCAGATTCGTTAAGGTACAATA